CGTCTCCTCATTGTCTGCATCCTTCTCAACAGCAGAAATCAATGTAGGGACTAAAATCAGAGTGAGGGGAGGAGAAACTTAATAACATTTTACTTTGACAGGCTAAAAATCGTGAAGGCTTTGTTCCTCAGGCTGTCAAGGAGCTGATAGTTTGGTGATGACTTTAATTTGGAGACCGCTAAATGTTTTCCAGCTAAGTGGCAGACGTAGGTGCAGGTGATGTAAAACTCCCAACAAAAGGCTTTTTTCCTTTAGGTCTCATCAGCAGATCCTCTCTGGACACAGACTGGCATATATGGGTTAATATAAAATGTTCCATAGGTGAGCACCTGTGAGAATAGGCAGCCAGATGCCCAACTTCAAGTGCCTGAATGCTTTAGATAAAATAATTTAGAAAATGGGCAAAGAAACAGCATTTAAAAAAAAAAAAAAAAATCAGTGTGATTTTTAAAAGTATAGCTAGCTCTGAAGTACCTATCTACCCTAAGATACTCTGCAGTGCTCATCACCTTAGGCGCTGTTCTCCATTACCAAACATTACGATGTTTGAACATAATTAAAAATGGAGTTAGCTGACGTGCCGCTGACCACAATCGGCCCTTATCTGGGCTGATCCCAAAGCCAAGCTCAGCCTTACACCAGCCAGCTGCGATTAAGCCCCCAGGCTTGATTAGCTGCTTTAGGCTTCACCCTGCTTTACCCTCCCTCAAAGACACAGCCTCATGTTTAACTCATTCAGCTGTCCAAAATCTTTGGCCCGACAGCAGAAGCATCTTGCAGCCCTGAGCGGGTCAAAGTTTGCATGAATATGGAGTGTCTCCAGAAGGCACCTATCTGTGTAAGTGGTGTGAAATTAAGTGATTTGTTAGGGGTGGAGGTCCTGATACCCACTAGCCTACCTCTTTTGACAGTAGAAGATGCTCTCCATAGCTGCAGAGATTTTGCTAGGAATAATTGACCACATGAGGCAAAAAAAAAGGGGAGAGTTTTGCTCAGCAAATGTTAAACAATACAATTATTCACACTGGAAAGAGCTACGGATAATACTCAGCAAAGTGTTGTAAATGTGGAATTTCAAGTCTACAATCCACAGCTATTGCTATCTTAAGTCACCTCCTTTGTTAGATTTGATACAAACCCCCATTTTTCATTGATGTGAACTAATGATTAAGATAACTCTTCCTTCAGTTTATTTATAGGTATTTTTTAAATCTCATAAACAGCACAAATTTTGATTTGCAGTATGATTCTGCAAACATTCTGGGGCATAATGACTGAAGGATTTTTTTTTTTTTTAGGTACAGCTACAAACACACACACAAAAGAAATGACAAAAAATACAGATTCATTACGTGTGTCTCAACATTCGCCCGGAGAGCATCACTGGTTATGTTCTCAGAGCCCTCTCTATCCTATGAAAAATCTTAGCCCAGAAGCAATCCCTATATATCTAAGTGGAACTAGATCCCAGGATTGAATCGCTACTAAGTATGACCAAAGGAATTCTGCTTCTATAGTTAGTTCTGATTATTTCTCCACTTTTCTCCATATTTGAAAATGGGAAGAAGAAGTAAAGTTGCAAGCAGTTTTAATTAAATAAATCTATAGCTATTTATGCACTTCAGATTTGCTAATTAGTAACTAGTATTTTAAAAAATACAGAAAGTAAAAACACACGAACATTTAGAGCAAGGAAGTAAAGAAGTAAACAAATACATAAATATCCACAAACTGTTGCATTTACACTGGTTCTTGAATAGGGTGGAAGAAACAAGCTCAAAGGAAGAAAAAAATCTCCTCCAATGAAAGACAAAAGAAGGAAACTCTCAGCTTTCTGTCCCACAGCCCCCAGCTAAAGCAACAGCTGGGCTGTGGCAGAAATTGTATGCCCGCTCAAAAGAGTTCAGATCTGTCGAATCTGTCCCAAAATATATTGTTTTGTTTGTTTTGTTCCCACAGCTACAGCAAAGTGCAGATCTCCTTGTTCAATGGGTTAAAGTTTTTAAAAAATATGTTATCTTTTAAAAGATAAAACTTTTAATAATTAGTTTAGCTTAGAATTGCAGGTCTTAGACATGTTTTGTTTTCTAAAAGCCTGCTATAAAATTGGTTCCCCTTTTTGTCCTCTGCTGATCAAAATTTGGTAATTGCCACATTATTTCTGCCAGAAGGAGAAGCTGTTGATGCAGATATTCCTTGGACAAAACTCTATTCACCTATTAAGCACCGTTCATGTCATTTTACTTAAGAAAAGCAGGGTATTTTCAAACAAAAGAAGTCAGAAATAAATATCTTCTTTCTTATTAGATACCTACCTACTTAAAAGTCCGTGCAAGCACCCTATGCACTTTGCCAGCTTCTGATATTGAATTACCCCCTTGCTTGTCTCAGCCACTTCTGTGTTGCATTTTACAGTGAAATCTCTTTTTGGCAGGGAACTGTATTTCTGTCACAGTCCTTACCATTATCAATTCTGATCTGACCGAGGTCCCCAGTCACAGAACACCATCAATATTAAGCAATAATCATGATAATAGTAATTCATATCAAGCATCTTCCGTTTGCCTGTCCATCTCCGTTATGTTATTAAATTAATAGATCTGCCACCACCAAAGAAAAATAGCATAAAGAGAGAAATCTTATTAAACTAGAGATAAAATTTTAAACAATTCTGGGAACTGCCAAGGCCAGCCTTTGGGCTCTTCCATGCACCACTCAAATCCAGTTAGCAAACTATGAGGATTATTTAGTTATTTGTTTTGATGTAATCAGTTTGTGAATTATAAGTGTTTAATCAAATTAATTCTGCCTGCTGCCAAGACAGAAGAGAAGCAAGAACATGAAAGAAAACAGAAATACAATACAATACAATACAATACAACAGCAGAAATACAATATTCTGGGTTATTGCTGTCTTACAAGAGAGGGAGACTGAATTTACCTCTCTACAACACTGGCAGTCTAGTTGTGCTTCAAACACAGATGCCACAGTTGTACTGCAAAAGCATGGACAATGGTATTTGGGGGCATTTCCAAATTACCTAGGTGTAACTATTTAAATCCTATTAAAGATTTATCAAGATTTGCTGGGATACATTGGTATCCGTTCTTTCCTGTGGTTGCACTACCTGTAAGATACAGCGTAAGAGTCTTAACTGGTTCCACTCGTCTTTTTGTCTCCGATAAAGATCCCTGTTCATCCGTGCACCCTTAAAATACCTTTTTACGCATGCCACGCACGGTACCTGCTTGAGAGCATAGAAATTGATACTCCACATTGCGAGCGGGATGCTTGGGAAGGTCCCAGACCCCCATCTGCGCTGGAGATGTTTGGAGGGGAGGTGAAGGCAGACTCCAGCTGCCCACGGCCACCCTCGCCTCAGTCTGTGGGCGATAGAGAAGTCCTCACACCACCACCAGCATAATTCTCCAGCACTTCGTCGCACAGAGGGCTGAGACCCATTTTTTTTTGCCTATCACAGACCAGCAGCCCCGCACAATACAGTTCAGCCAAACACTCAGATTAACATTTGAATCTGTCTTCGTCCAACACAGCACTTTCATCTGCAAATTGATATCCCATCAAGACTTCCAACATTCAGTTCTCTGGGACTTGGGGACACAGAGACAACCTCTGACGATGGTGGATAGGGGCAAGATTTACACACAGCTCATCCTCTCCTGCCCCATCTGTACAAACTATCTCCATCTGTAAGTACCAATAACGCAATATTACATTTTAGGGTAGGAGCATCCACATACTACCCCACACATCACTGTACCCTGCAGCTTGTTTTCTATTTCTGTTCTAAGTACTTTAAATGTAAATGATCACCACAAAAGGTCACAAAATGTGATCAATTGCTCTGTGGCATTTTACCTTGAGGATAAGTAAGAAAAAGTAAACACGAAGGTTTGGAACAAGATATGCCAAGACATTAATGCCCTTTGGGGCATTTAAAAGTAACTGGAACTGGGTGCTTTAAAAGAAAATAAAAAATAATTCAGAGTATATATTTGATGTCATGAAAACAAGTAGTAGAAGAGAAAGATCAAAATGACAAGTACTGAGTGTTCTCAGCAAATCGGAGATTATATATAAATATTCCCTCAACTATAATTTATCCTCATCTTTGAGTTTGGGGCTCCTACTCCATGGTAGCCAGGCACATGGGAATCTCCAAAGATCATGTCCAAGGGGACATCCTGACAAGACACAGTGGGTGGGATTTTTGTGCCTGCCTTTCACGCTCAAAAGTGTGAGGAGCTCTTCCATGTCCAGACAGGCCTATCGTTAAAATCAGATACAGAATGAACGCTTGTGTAGTTCCAGTAAATGGAAGGAATCAATAAAAAGGGAATAATTTCAGATTTTTCAAAATAAATTCAGAAAGAGCACTCAACAAGTAATATGCATAATTAACACCTATTATGTACAACATTGTATTATGAAATAATATCAATCCACTTCATCAGTGATATGGAAATGTTAGACTTTTTTAAGGAGGAAAGTACTGGATTTAAGAGGAAGAAATGCACCTTTCCGAAAACAAATATATTTGTTGGAATAAGCAAGATGACAACAGACCTACCTGCATATGGTGCATATAACCAGCCAATGAAATAGTTCTTTCCCACACCACCTCTTCCCCAGGCACAGCTCTACTCATTATTCCCTGAGATTGTTCCATTTAATCAAAGCACAGTTACGTTTATTGCAGATGTTAATCTGCAATCAGGGAACAGTTTCTGCTTGTTCACCTAAGTTTAAGTGATACTAGTGGTGCTGAAGCCTCTCTGGAAAAAATCACTGCTTCTCTCTAAAACATTTTGTGGGTGTTTCAGTTCTTATTTTAACATCATCTCCCAGACAAACAAAGGGAACCTTCTGCAAGAGGCAGACTGGTTCTCTTTGTATATGAAAAAGCTACACAGAGTATGAATATACACAAATACCCAGGATTGCCAACCATGAGGTGCTGAGCACGTGGCAGACTTACCCTGGAGTTAACCACTTCCAAGGAGATGTTCTGAGGCATCGCACTGGGCACTGAAAGGAAAGAAAAGCACAAAGAAATGAGAAATATCGCCATTAGTGTCTAAGAATAGTTTACATCGAGTATTTCTCTTGTTGTAAAGAAAAGAGTGCAGTTTATACACCTAGTTTATAATCTGATCACAACCGTGCAGCTAAACCAGGTGGCACTTCAGAAATCCCCTAGGGAGAGGAAAAACAAATGCATCTGTTCATTTCCCATTTTTGATAGACCTATTAGTAAGCCCTTTAAACAGCCAGTCAGCAGGCTCCCTGCGGTGAGACCGACGACTTTAATTCAGTTATTTGTTATAAACTTGGTCAGAAATACACAAGAACATGCCACAATTTCTCTGGCTTTTCTGTATTAAAGTGCATTTCAGAACATATATTATATAGATCCAGAGCAGGGTATTCCTCTCTTAGTGACACCACTGCATCTCTTTTTACAAGGATGTCTAAGGCGAAAAGAGAAAAAAATCTTTGTCTTTAGATATTATTTACAAAACAGAATTTTACATTAAGGCTCTGCTTGTCATACACAACATAATCCATATTTGGCTTTATACAACTAAACATTGTTATATCCATTCTGATAAATCTACTTCAGTTCTTAAATGGGGCTAATAGCTATTCAACATATGGTCTTACAAAGATGCCTCACAAGGCATTAATGAGAGGGTCTGGCACCCATAGCTTTAAATAAAACAAATGGTTGTGACATAAGGGTCTTTTTCTGTCTTAAAAGTTCCTTTAATCTCACACTCTGTCTAGCTACAGTCATAGGAAAAACCTGTACGGTGCAGACTCATTTATCCTGTCCATCCTGCCAGCTCCCTGCCCGTGAAGGATCGGGCTCACGCCACGGAGACACGGCGTGGAGACCAGCGAGTGCCCAGCACCCGCACGGTTGGACAGGCCATTAGCAACTAACGCTTGACTGACAAATTTCTGCATGCTTTCCACTCCATATCTGTATATTTGTTCCCAATACACTCGCCCAGCAATGGTTCAAATGTATATTCCCCCAGCTCATGGCAAATATTAATTCAAGCACTGAGGAGCCAGGAGCTTTACAAATATGTTCATAGTCGGTGATGCATCAACCGCCTGATGAGAACCTGAAAATTTATTTTCCTTTCAGAGGAATAATGCCTGCCTGCTAACCTGGGCTACTGAACAGTTGAAAAACAAAGACATAGTTTATGCTTACAGGAAGGTGTCCCTGAATTTGGAAGAAAGAGCTGAAAAAGGATCATGGTGACTACCCAACTTAAGAATAGTCTGCAATGCAATGCATTAGGGAAAATGAGAGAAAATGATTTATCAGCGTAAAAGTATGAATATATCAAGTCAAAGAGTTGTTCAACACATTTTTACATTATATTAACAAGAACACTAGGGCAAAATCATTCTCGTTGCAGTTGTCCACACATTTGAATTGATTTAGCAAAGATCTACAAGAATATCTGGGACCTGAAATGTCTTAAGAGACCAGATAAATTAATTTTATTTAAACAAGTGCAGTGTTAAGATGTGCTTGGATTATTATCTGTTGTTATCTGAAGAGGCAAGGACTTCTGGCTGTAGAGAACAGTTTAATAGGCAAAGAGCTACAAGCTGGAATCCATCCCCATTAAAAATCAGGTATTTCTTTTCAACTGGTTCAGTCCTCACTGAAAACTGCTGTCTAGAAGGGTGGGGGTCACATCACCAAGCAAAATGTGTACATAAGTATTTCTGTATACCACTTATTCTGGCCAAAACTTTCACCAGCATGAACTGATGAAATTCTGTGTACTGTATAAAGGTGGATGTAATGGGGGCTGTTGTCTATATTGTCTCTACGTATTGTCTACTTGTATTGTTTCCATATGAAGTCTATATTGTCCACAAAAGCTGTGACAGATGCAGACAATCAGTGCAGACTGTCTCAACATCAGCACTCTGGAAGAGGCAGGCTGCATTTACAGTGAGGAATCATCTCTGACCTTAACACCTATGAATCTCTAAAGAGTGTAATAGGCACTAATATGATAAGAAACACACCCTGCATAGTCATTAAAGTTGTATAAATGCTGCTTTCCCCAGATTATTTCAAACAGCACTGGTGAGACAGCTCCTCCACTGGACTCTGTCTAGTCACGTCTATGTTCAATAAACAAGTCCCCAAAGTGCAGCACTTCGTATCATCCTGAGTGCACTCTACTATTTAAGGATTTAAGTCAGTCAGAGCTAAGTCATTTGTCAGTGCTAATAAGAAAACAGTATTTTAAACACAAGCCTCAAAAGACCAAAAGTAACAATAGCTAGCCAGGAGGGACCCGTTGGCAGCAAAGGCCCACATTAGTACCACTGTCCTTCATGAAGGTTCTGTGGATCATAAAAAGGTAAAAAAAAAAAAAAAAAAATAAAAAAAATAAAAAGATGCACTATTTGAATCACAATAATGTGAAAACTCAGATTGCCTGGAGACAGAGGTACAGCAAAGCGAGCAGCAAGGAATACACAAACTCTTCCTCAGTTTGAGAATCCCAAATCACAGAGATTTGCTGTTGGAAACAGTCCAGAGTAAGTAATAGCCTGAGCCAACTGGGCGCTCCTGAATCTCTCCAGATTAGCAGCTTTAGACACTAGCTAGTTTCTTTAGTGCAGGGACTGTTCTTTTTTTGTTTCCGTACTGCCCACGACAGTGCAAAGTTGATCCAAGGCATTGCAGCAACAGTACATGAAACATCTAATCTCCGTTAGTACAAAGATGTCACTGCTCACACTCCCTTCATTCTGAAAAATATCAGACAGAAAACTGTGTCTGTGATGTACTTGGTATTGCAAGGAATAAGAAAATCAAGATATTTTTGGACATTTCTGAATGAGCTGGATCTGGCAGACACCACTATCTCCCGGAAAAGCCTGTTCTCACCGGAGAATATTTGCCCTTGTTTGTGAGCAAGGCAGGACTGCTCAGAGACCCAGTTTCTCACACGTGATTCCTCTTCTCTCTCCCCTCCCTCATGGGCTGCAAAGGCTCCACACAGTGTTTAGCCATTGCCAACTTAAACCTTCCCTTCTCATTACTGACTGCCAAGTTTTATTACTCCTACATATTACTACCCTACCAGACAAAATTCTCTTCACTTTACTTTTTTTTTTTCACTATACATTTATCTTTCTATTATTTTGATTCTTTCTCTTCAGTGGATGCTTGTCATATTTCCCAATTTTGTTGCATACATGAACATAACTGATGCACTCCTCTTTTCTTCCAGATCTTCAATCAAAACAAGAAATAAATCCAGACCTGACCCAGCATCGAACTCAATCATTTCCATAGCAATTCTGGGTGACTTTATTCCTTGCTCACTGTTCACTCAAGGAGATGTTTTGCATTACCAAATCAGAGACCCTGATTTAATATCTCGGGTTGCATAACAATCAGAGAGCTCCCCTGGCAAACCCAGCGCCTGTGAGATTACAATTATTTCCTCCGGTTTTATATCTTGATCAAATAAAGAAATTGGATGCACCTGGTAAAATTTGGTTTTTGTTTATTATTCACAGCTTAATTATACCATTAGAAATTAGAGCAGAACTCATTTTACCTAGCATTAGCTATGCAATACGCAATGAACAGTGCTTTGTCTCAGCACGGGGTGACTCAGTGGTGGAAGAAGTCTTGAATAATCTGGATGAGTTTTGCTGCCTGCCTTGGACCAGGTGTCTAAATGTAGGTGAGATGAGCCTCACTGCTGGAAGTGAGGAAGAAGGAATGGAAAGAAGAATGATGGGAAGAAGGTTCATATGACAAGGCACTCAAGTTTGTTGTTGAGTTTCTTTTCTTTTCACAGAATCACAGAATGGTTTGGGTTGGAAAGGGCCTTAATGATCATCCAGTTCCAACCCCCCTGCCCCGGGCAGGGCCCCCTTCCCCCAGCCCAGGGGGCTCCCAGCCCCGTCCAACCTGGCCTTGAACCCTTCCAGGGAGGGGGCACCCACAGCTGCTCTGGGCACCCTGGGCCAGCGCCCCAACACCTGCACAGGGAAGGATTTCTGCTAAATCTCCCCCCTTTCAGTTTAAACCCATCCCTCGTCCTACCCCCACCCCCTGACCCAGAGTCCCCCCCCACCTTCCCTGTCCCCCCTTTAAGCCCTGGGAGGCCGCTCGAAGGGCTCCCCGGAGCCTTCTCTTCTCCAGGCTGAACCCCCCCAACTCTCTCAGCCCGGCCCCCCAGGGGAGCTGCTCCAGCCCCCCCAGCATCTCCGTGGCCTCCTCTGGCCCCGCTCGAGCAGCTCCGGGTCCTTCTGCTGTTGGGGGCCCCCGAGCTGGCCCCAGCACTGCAGGGGGGTCTCCCCAGAGCGGAGCAGAGGGGGAGAATCACCCCCCCGGCCCTGCTGCCCCCCCTGCTCTGGCTGCAGCCCAGGGCACGGGTGGGTTCTGGGCTGCCAGCGCACAGGGCTGGCTCACAGGCAGTTTTCCCCCCCCCCAGCACCCCCAGCCCCTCTCCTTGGGGCTGCTCTCAGTTTCTATCTGGTGAAATTTAAGAAATATATTTTCAGTTCCCCATCATATAAACCCATGTCCTTTGTGGGTTTGCTGGTTGTTTGCTGTACTTTAGTTGTAGAGAGGAGTCCAGAAGGAACGAGACGGCTGATCAGGGCCCTTGAGTGTTTCACTGCCGCACAGAGAGCACCCAGGTCCCCAGGATGCTCTTTTGGGAGAGGCACAGGAGGGTCAGAAGCACCAACTGGGGTCAGCATGCTGGGAGGCAAGAGTCAGGTCCAGGTCCCCAACTCAATAAAGACCAGAGCAAGTACACTAGGTAACTGAGCCTTGCTGGTGCTTGCACAACCTCCAGCCACCAAACCTTCCTGTGGAGGTTCCATTACAACCTGTGCCTTTCCCCAAAAGGTTTCAGGGCTGACAGTCACACCAAAAAATGGTTTGCTTCGGGAAACTCCTGTGTAATTTTTGCAGGGGGAAGAGGAGGAAGAGGGAAACAATCCCGGTACTTTTTCCAAACAGATAAAGGTTTGGATAATCTTGGGGGGAATGCACTCTACCAAGAGGTTGGGCTACTGGGGTGGTACAGTAAGGGACTTGGTCCCCAGTAGGGTCACTGTCATGACACTGTTCACATCCAGTAAATCCACGTTTGTGGCTCCCGTAAGCGGCTCTCGTGCAAACACAGGAACGGCTACCAACATCTGAGAAACTTCACAGGCTGACTCCTGTGTCAATCTGAACTTCAATCTTCAATTTTTACTTAAAAAAAAAAAAAAAAACAAGCATTCATATTATAATTATGGATATAAATTATATTTAAATCAACTACTCAGGAAGCATGAAATTCTACTGTCAGCCAATTGCTAGGATTAAATGCATTTTGTTAAATTCATGAGCATGATAGCTCAAAGCATTTCTGAAATGGCACGCAGCTTGGCCAAATATTATCTGAGCTGTATTTTAAACTGAAAATTAAGCATTAAAGATATAGTTTATTCCTTGATCTGGTGAATGCTGTCTGGGGTCTGTAGCTCCTGCAGCTGGAGATGCCACACTAAATCCCTTTGATTGGGATGCATTTCTTAGGCTACAGATTACATCCCAGAGCTTCATGGAAAATTTCTGCCTACTGACCTGTGGGAACTGATACTACAGGCTTTTTTTTTTGTGCAACTACATACACCTTATTGTATGCTATGCAGCAAAGGATTGGTGTGGAAAAAATAACCTGCTCAAGCCCACACACTGTCAAGAGGAAGGAAGACTTTAAAATGATCCTGTAAATTTTACAACAGGGAAGGTAAACCAATCTTCAGGAATTTTCTCCCATTTTTGACACTTACTTCTGTTTCAAACCAGCTTTCAGAAAAGCAGCGTGGGAGTCACTGCCCTTTGAGAGCATCCTGGCTCCTTTCCTGGGGGATGCCTCCAGGTTTGGCTACCAAGGCAAAAATAAACTGCCAGAGACTACATGGACTGAGATGGGAAGACAACACGAAGCAAAGACCAAAAGGAATGGGCCATGATAAGCAAAGCGCTCCTCGCTACGATCCTGTTTGGTGGCAAAAGCACTGGGCAGGAGCAGGGAGAAGTGGTCAGCTCCTGTCCCCTTCAACATGGTGGGCCCTGACTGATAAGGCTGCTAAATCTAAATTCAAGCCAGAGGATGTGTTGTAATCCAAAAAGCATAGCGGAGCAGCCTGGGGAGCTGCTCTGCTCCATGGGGAGGGTGCTGGCAGGGCACACAGGAACAAAACCTGCCCAAAACCAGATGTGTATACAGGCAACTAGAGGCTTTCTTCTTCCTTTATGTCTCACCTATAAAACAGGACAGATTAAATGTCTTTGTTCCTCCTCTATGTAGACTGTTAGCTCGCCCATGCAGGAGTTATTTCTTACTGTTTTATTGCACATCCTTCTAGCAGAATGGACCTTAACCCTGGGAAAGTTCTATGCGTGATACCATAAAAGAAACTGCATAAAGTTTTGGTGCTGCAGACTTGCTCCCTCCATTCCCTCCTTTCCTTCTCAGGACAGCTAGGACTGCTAGCACCTTCACCAGGGTTGGGCAAAGCCAGGCTCTGGCTGTGGCCCTTTGGCTGCTCTTCTTTAAGCAAGAGACCAAAGTGGTTTCAGGAAGAACCCAGAATAAGGAAGATGAAAAGAAATCCTAAGGGGATTTTCTCTTCCTTTACACCTGCTCCAAAAAGCAGAGGAAGTCTGGAAAGGCTGCAGCCAACTGACTTTTTGCAGAACAGACTTTTGCCTAAATAAAAAGGAAAATAAATACATCTTTCTCCAGATTCCTGAAACAAGGGCACCTATGCACACTCCTGTTTTCTGGAATAGTCTCATGCAAACCTTCTCGTTAGCAATGATTTTTCCTTCATAGACAGGTGAAGCATTTGAAACACTTGCAGAGGATAATTTTCAGTCTCATGAATAACAATCTTTCCCTTTCTCACTTATGGTGACATTTAAAACCAAAGTGGAGTACAGGGCCGCAGTTCTACACTTCACAGTGTGAATTAAATCTACATACATTATGCAAAATATTCATTTTCACTTGTTTTCCTTTTGTTTTTATAATTATAAGTGTGAAGTAATTTATTCTACCAAGATCCAGTCTGTACTACAAGGGAAAACTGAATTTGCTGGGTAGACATAAGTAGCACTTGGAAAAATATTGCAGAGGTGTCAAACGTACAGTAACAGTGCCAACCGAGCTGGGGGTCTCGCAGCTGAATCCCACAGAAGATACAGTCCAGAATAACATAAATAAAACAGTGCTGAGGTTCACCAGCTCCCTCGCCTGGGGTTCTCCACATCCCTGGCCTCTTCCACATGGCTCTTTGAGGGGTTTGTTTTAGAGGCTCACAATAGTTCTCTTCCAGTGCCCTCCATCAAGGCGCCTATTTATTTCTGAACTAAAACTTACAATCACAGAATGGTTTGGGTGGGAAGGGACCTTAAAGATCATTGAATCTCAATCCCCTTGTAAGGAGCAGGGCCCCCTTCCCCCAGCCCAGGGGGCTCCCAGCCCCGGCCAACCTGGCCTTGAACCCTTCCAGGGAGGGGGCACCCACAGCTGCTCTGGGCACCCTGGGCCAGCGCCTCACCCCCCAAACAGGGAGGAATTGCTGCCTTACATCTCATCTAAATCTGCCCTTTTTTGGTGCAAAACCATCACCCCTCATCCCATCCCCACCCCCTGATCCAGAGTCCCTCCCCACCTTTCCTCCGGTGGAAAGGCTCAGCCTTTTCAAAATGAAATCCCTGCTCCTCCTGACCCCACACAGCCTCACCGCCCGGCTGAAGCTCCCCCTTTCAGACCATGTTTCTTCCACCGCTGCTCCTCCAGAGGTCAGGGAGGCCTGGGGGGGACCTGCAGACCACAGGGTAATTTGGGGTGACAGCAACCGCAGGGGGAGTGGGAAGATGTGAGTCAGGAGTGTCACTTCCATCGTGGATGTCACCACCCAGGGACACCTGCAGAAGTGCTCTGTGCTCTACACACACTGAACAAATACAAGAGCTTTTCCAGTGCATGACACCCTCCATCTGTTGATTTTCTCCAGGGTCTACACAGCTTCTATTAACACTGCCCAGAAATTGATATTTTTAGTTGATCAGACACAGCATTCAGAAGCAACTGGGTTACCAGGCAGAAAATTGCCATTCTCAACCTCATACAAATTTTCAGCTGCTTTGGGTAGAGTAGCAAGGGAGACTTATCAACTTTGTAATAAGATTAGATAAATATTTGTACATATAAAGGGATAAACCTGTCACTCTGGTTCTCCATTCCATTTTTTTTCCTCTAGCTTCAATCTACAGCATGGAAAGGAACAACAGTGAAATCTGTGTGTGACTGAGGTGCATGCCAGGCACTGTTTCTGAATGTGCTCATTTCCACAGGTTATCTGCTACATTTCTGAGGGGAGAAAAGACCTGCAAGTTTAACATACATATCTGAAGCCCATGACAATATATTTCTTGCCTACTCATTGATTTTATACTCTCATGTAAAAATAAACACTTTTTTTTTTCCCATGAAAATGACCTTAAATTAATGATCCAAACCCAGGACAGGGCCACCCAAAATCCCATACCTGTGCTTTGTTAGCATGGATGAAAAAGCAGCTGTCTGCATTTTTATCAGAAGGAAAGTTACTTATTTATTAATCTCACTTTAAACGCTTAGTAGACACCTCTTACATCACCTTTAAACAAAATGTGGGTATGGAGAAAGCCCCTCAGGTTTTGGGGCTCAGTCAGGAGCGGGCACAACCCTGAAGCCACTGGAGCCTTCTCTGGCCTGGTTTCTGCCTTTTGAAACTCGTTCACCCCTCTGAAAGAATTTTTCCTTCCTTTTTATGCTTTTTTTTTTACACTGCTGTAGCCCAAATGACTCCAATGAAGTTATTCCTGTTTTAGCCAGGTGTGGGGATCAGGCTCAGTGACTTCAAGAGGAGTCAGGCGTGTGTAAGTTTTGTGATATCAGACACAACTAAGTGCTTCTGAATGCAAAATAAAATTCAATTTATCTCCCGGAGCCTGCGAGCCTCAGGAGCACGGCATGAGCTCGGGGAAGGATGCTGGTGCAGCCGCTGTGACGAGCAGAGATTGAAGCCCTGGCACATTTGCTACCCCTGTGTCTAAAGCACAAGGAAAACCCAGGCAGTTGGCTCTTCAAATGAAGCTGTAATAAAATAGTGTCTGTTGAAAAGCTGAAAGGATACGCCTGTGCCTAAGTTAAAGAGAAAATAGAGAGAAGTAGACTATCCTTGTCACTAGACATAGGAATAATGAACTGAACCAATTATCCTTGGAGATGAACACCAGCTCAGAGGGTACCACTGCAGGAAGGCACTGAACCTCTGATTTCTGCCCTGCACATTCAATAACTTCCACGCTTCATTGCTGCCTCTTCCAAAATATGGTGGCAGAAGGAAGAAACTTGATGACTGCAACCGACAGACGCAACCTGCCCACCCTAGGTCCCCTTCCCTTCCTACTCACCATCCGAAAGCGTGGTGACCGTCACGTCCTCGGTGGAGACGCCGGGCCCGTAGCGGTTGTAGGCAAGGAAGCGCAGGGTGTACTCGGTGAACTTCTTCAGCCCCTCCAGTCGGTAGGAGAGCCCGTCCACCTCCACATTCTAGCACACAGAGACGAAAAACCAAGAGGAAACGTGACAGCCAGCGCCACAGCCATGCCGAGGGATGAGTGGATTAGAGGAGAGTTTTTCAGTCTTTGAGAAGTAGAGCTAAATCCTTATTTGAGTTGATAGAAAAGGTAATTTGTAACAGAACAGCTTGTTACAGCACGGTTCTCGGCGCTCGTCTGCAGCCCTGACCACAGCTTCGGGATAGAGGGGATTTCAGCACCTCAGAGTTGTGTTTAGTTACTCAGGACGCATGAGAAAAGGGTTTGTTTTTTTTTTTTTTTTTTGGTTAAGCCAGTTGCTACCACTTCATAGGTTGTGATAGGGAAAGAAGAAAATAAAGGCAAAGAGTCAAAGGGGAAATTTGGAGAAAAGAAGGAAGTAGCATAAAGCAAGAACAGAAAAAATGGGGATGGTATAAAAGTTCTCGTAAGACTCCTGAAGCACCTGCCACAAGACTGATGATGCCTGTGACTATTAACGTGCTATCAGGTCAGAAAAAAAGACATCTCCACTTGTTTCCCTGCCCTATTGTTTTCCAAAAACCTCTTCAGGCCATACTCTACCTGCAGAGCTCATCTCCGCTGCTACTGCCGTACTTCTATCAAATACTGGTTATTAAATGGCTGGTGGGAAGCATCTGAGCAGACTGCAACCTACAGAACTCAAGGCTGCTTGTTTGCCACGTGAAAGCATGTGCTCATGGCACAGTTAGGTGTGCAATTAAGTGCACAGCATCAACACCAATTTTTACTATGGGCAGCTGTCAGTCCAGAGAGAAACTGCATCATCTCTAGCCTGGATTTGTATTATTTTACTCTCCCGCTTGAAGGAAGTTACCAGAAGAAACTAAAAATATAGACGTTCTACAAAGATCATGTGTAACAAACTGCCATCAATGTGTTGATGGTTTTGCACAATGAAGGGGGAGTCTAAAGGGTCTTTGAATGCTTTTTGGTGTTACTCTGAGACTTCAGTGTAACACTGAGGAATGGTTAATATATAATAGGCTGCTGCTTTCTACCTCCTGAACCCATTTTATACTGGTGGAAGTTTATTTTGCTTGATCTGCTCTTTTATCACTGGTCTGCGCAACATTTACCTAACCTGAAGTTAACCCGTAAAACCTCTCACTCTGAGCCTCTGCAGCACTCTGAAGACCTGCAGGTGCTTACACCAAATATCTCTTTTTCACAGGGAGAGCAGAGCCGCTCCGGTCACCGCTCACCTGCTCTCGCCCAGTTGCTGTCTCTGTACAGAAGAGCCTGTAGCCTTGAACGGGGCCATTCGCGTAGGCAGGAGGGTCCCAGGAGACAAGAATCGAGGTAGGTGAGGTGGACACAGCCCTCAGGTTTTCCACTGGCCCGGGAACTTGCACTGCACAGAAAAGAAAGGACAGGGTGAAAATCCCGTTCCTGCAATCGCCCAGCACTGCGCCCAGGTCCCCGACACGTGGCACGACCCAGCCCAACACACCTCCACGGGATGCCTGCAACGGCACTGCTTCCGCACTGTGTGCCTCAGAAACTCCAGAAAAAAACACAAAAGGGACGACAAACCCGTGAAAAATACACTGTGGAAAGACTACAGCAGATTTAGTGCGATGAATACATGAAGTAGAGAAAAGGATTGTTCTGTCTAGGCTACATCTCTGTGCCTTTGGCTCAGAGGATGGACTTCACCTTAAAATTAAATTTCTGGGGAATAATTAGCACAAATATCTAACGCGACCAACAGACGCACTTGCCTTGAGGTAGTAGGAAATCTGAGACATGCAAATCTGATCATCCAAGACCATTTCAAGGAAATGACTGCCATTAGAGGAGCCATTAGGTTGCAGGCAAACACCAACACACCACCCCGACAAGACCAAAGTCATCTCACAAACACACTAACCGCGAGCTTGAAGCTGCTTTCTGTGAGGCACCACTTAGTTGTGTGTGTTTCTGCCCCAGCTCTGTACGTACCAGCTTGATGCTATTAACTTATAAATTGATTTGGTGCACCACAGCAGGCTTTGGTTTCTTTTAGCAAGCAATTAGCCTTCAAAATCTCTCTGTCGGCTCCTACTTACACCATCTCCACATACGTGCACATGTACCTGTTTATGCTATCTGTTTAAATTCCTTTATGCATTACTCACTCTGTTTTAGCTGCCTGATGGATCACAGGTGATGGCTGAGATGCAGCATGAAGGGCAGTCCTTGGCATGCTCTAATGAACAAGGGATCCCACCAGGGCTGGCTCTAAGCTGGTACCCCCCCTTTAGCAGTGGCTCTTTCAGCTTAAAACCGTTACCCCTCATCCTACTTTTACATCCCCCTGACCCAGAGCCCCCCCCCACCTCCCCTGTCCCCCCTTTAAGCCCTGGGAGGCCGCTCGAAGGGCTCCCCGGAGCCTTCTCTTCTCCAGGCTGAACCCCCCCAACTCTCTCAGCCCGGCCTCATGATTTGGTCAGACACCATACAGCTCTTCACATAAAGCCCCGGGGTGACTGGGCTGGTCTTGGAGCTGACCGGCTTTGAGCAGGGGCTGGACCAGAGATTTATCATCTGCAAACCCTGATTTGCCCTTAAAAGGTAGGCTTTACTAGTATAAGCTCCAATATTTATATGTAGGCCCAGTTCTGCTCTGAAGTAATATTCCCATGTTTGCACAGTGACCAGCACTTACAGAAACTGCAGGGCTGTAACAATCTCATCTTATAAATCAAAGAAAGACAATAAAAGTGTTAAAATATCCCACCCTTGAAACTGTTATCTTGTTTGGTTAGTTCTGAAAATACAGCAGTTGAAATAGGTTGAGCCTTACTAGAGGTCATTTGAAATGCAAAATTTAGACTGCCTTGACAGGTGGGTGAAGAAGCACAGACTCCTCCTCAAATGACAATGCAAAACAATCCCTTTTAATTGTTAAGGAAGCCATACTAAGTCACCTTTTGTTATACCGACTCTATCTTAAAGTGCTCCAATTTCACCCTGAATGTAAATTATCACACATCAACGACAACATGACTTTGGATGTCAGCTTAAATCACTTATTAAAACAAAAGAGCTAAAAAAGCTTAATAAACTCCTATCACTACCAGCAGTACCAGAAAATCACTCCCTGCATGTCTCTACTGGACCTAACCCCAGCAACAACTGATGTTTGGAGATGGGGCTATCTGCAGCTTATCTCCGCCTTCATCTCAAACTCAAGCAAAATTGGAAGAAAGAAAAAAAAAAAAAAAAAATTATAATTGTGGCAAAAATGTAAAGGTCAAGCAGAAAGTTCTTTCTGAAAATCTTCAACACCAAATAGCACCTTTTTATTTTCAGTAGGGAGCGTGCTATGGCATAAAACAAACTCACGAGCTATTGTGCAGCTGACAGATAACAGAATTACAGCTCCGAGGACAGGCTTTCCGCAAAGTTACATCCCCATTACAAGGCAGTTTCACACTAACAGCTCTCTTTTGTAAATCTGTACGTCTGCGGTGCGCAGCGATAGCTGAGGAACGCCTGACCCTGCACTCCCTGGATCTGTCCCTCTCCTGCAGAAACAGGGATGGCAGAGCTGGGCGTTGAAGAAAGGCGTCCAGACACATCATCAGCAAAACACAGATAGCCTTTGATCACAAGTAATTTCAGGTTTAGATGCAGTGTAGATGCATTTAATATATTTTTATTTCCTTCGCCCAGCTTTCCTTTTCATGCTATTTCAATACTTCTGACAGGCACTCTAATGTGCTTAAGGTCTCAGTATTTTCAGCACACACAAAGCATTTAATAATCTCTCCTGATCCCTTCTGTCAAATAATAATCTCGTGAAAATTGGCATTAAGTTTTAAATCCTTTCCTAAATTCTTCTTTTTCTAAATAGCAGAGAGGCCCTCAAACTGCTTTACATTCCATTAAAACAAGACATTAAATCATGTTTCTTCTAAAATCAGTCTTTTACAACTAACAGCATCCTTTCTCTAAGAAAAAACGATAAAGAAAAGAGGGCCGGCAAATGACTGATGCATTTTCTTTTACCAGGGGCTCCATATAATGCTTCAATATATTCAAAAAATCACCGTTCCTCTGAGAACGCGCTTCCGCTCCCGTATAAAATTAGTTCAGTGCCTCAGACTGTTTCATAAATACAAGGTACAACACATGCTTGCAAAGAGTTTGCTGCTGCTCTCACAACTGCCAGCTTTGGAGTTGTTTGGTGGAATTACTCCTATTCAGTAGCAGTAAAAGCAATCACATTCAAAGCCAGAAATGGTCAAATGCTTTGCTTTTTTTTCCTTCCAGTGCTGATTTTAGAAATATGCATTAACCGCCTTTCTGTTATTGTTAATGTTAGCTGTCAGCATAGCTGACCTTGTGTTACCGGTGTGAATAGCTGGATCCACGTTGTGCTGCAAGAATGCACCCTGCATTGCCCCAAAAGCCCATGTTCCTGGGGCTGGAGGATGATATGTAGCACAGGCACCTGACATACACCTTGATTTTAGCTATATATTCTTGAAGGAGTACCTGTGTTCCTAACATACTCATTGCAGAGCAGTACTGTTGTGTTTCTAATCCGAGCTGGCCCCAGCAAAGACAGCTGTCCTCTATGTAAACGGCATGTTTTGCTTTTAATCTCCCATCAGTTTTCAAATCTTGTGGGCTATTTTTGGAGCTAACCTCCTGCCAGCAGTTGATATCAACCCAAAGAGGTCATGTGCAGTTGGCAACGGGTGAAGTGCCTCCAGAGATCTTATATAACTCATTCCCCCCTTCCATCCTGCAGAATAGGGGTGCAAATCCATGTCATGTCCCAGGGGCTGATGCACCTCACACATGGGAGAAGCTGGCAGGAGAAATGACACCCAGATTCGTACCTCCAGAGCACAAGCTGAGTCAACACAGCTTGACTTTGGGGTCAGCAGACCCAGAGATGCTCGGTAGGAAAGCTTCACAGGTTGAAGTGGGCATTAGCTGCTGGGAAGGCCTGGCCACTTGTAGGGTATGAGAGTTTTAGGACCTCTAGTAACCCTGAAAGTCTGATCTATTGTAGGAGCAGAAAGGGCAGGCATCTCTGTATGACAGTGAAAGCATTCCCTTATTAAGAGACTCTGGTATTGACCCTGCTCCTTTTCAGTTCCATAAAACCAGACGTCCACATAGTCAACTGCTCCTCGAAACCCACAAGAACACAATTTCTGCTCTCACGAGCCTTCACTGTGCTTGCACAGAATCTTCCTCTTTGCTATTGTTCTGTTAATCTTCTGATAATAATAGTTAATAAGATACAAGAAAGATACAAGTGCCTAAAATAGGAATGTAGACAACTACATAAAAAATTGCTTGGCAACTGCCTAAACATGCTAAATATATCTCTCAAATCTGACATTTTTACAAGTTTCTGAAGCTCTGTCTCTGCACCTCAGGCCACCCTGCCTGTGCCAGTGGGAATCTGCCTCATACCGGAGCCCCACTGGCAACCAGGGAGAGGAACACCTGAACTCCTTGAGCACACCTCTGTCACTTAAAGAGTTAACCCAAGACCATTGCCTTAAGCTCTATCACAAAACACTGACCTTCTTTCAGGGGTATTAACAGGCTCCAGCTTTGGGCTCCAAGGTGTATTGATGCAGAATTATGCACAGCAGCCTTTAGACAAGAGCAGAGCCCTAAATACCACCTGGAAGTTGAATGCCCAAATAAGAGGTGAAAGGATCATGGTCCTACTGCTTTGTTCCCTCCTCCTGTTCCCAGGGGTCTTGACTTTCGCTGTCTATAGTCCAAACTAACCTCCCGTCTAATGGCCATGATGCTCCTGCCCTGAGAGAGTGCCGTTCAAGGCACTCATGCTCTGAATCCTTTCAGGTAGAAGAAAGCATTAAGCCTTTGCATTAAATCTTCCCAGGAGAAAGCACATACCACCACCATGCCTTCACAAGGAAAACAAAACCACTTATCCCAACAGAATTTTTTAGAAGGCATATGCCTGTTAATTCTGAGTTAGGCTTCCCTGGTCTCCAGCTCTGTGTCAGGCTAGCCATCTCCATCATGAAAGCTGCTTTTTTAAAACATTTTTCCTAGTGATTCATTCTTCTCATCTATAATGAGATGCAATGATTAAAATGTTCTTGTTATTACATTTCACTTTTCGTTTAAACAGCTGGTTCTGTGCTGATCTGCGCTGAAAACATTTCAAACATAAAACATTTATGAAGCCACTTGCAGTTATTGATAATAGAGTGCATGCTTTGATTGCACCTTTGATTTCCTCCCCCCCCCTTCTTTCTCTGTAGTTAGCAGGTTTAACGATATTTCATTAAAATCTGGTTCCATGCTGCAAGGGAAGATGCAACTTCAGAGAGCCTGCAGGCAGTGTAATTATTAACACAGCGAAAC